TCACAAACCTCCCTAGATACCAAATTTTTTATCATTTAACTAATTTTGCAATGCAATAAAAATATAATATAATAATAAAATATGATAATCGCTTGATGCCAAGTCCGGATGGCAGATTCTTTAAAACTTCCCAACCAAGCTCCCGAAGTTTCTGGCTAGTCACTGTAGATGTGTGTGGCCTAGCATTGTCCTGGTGGAACACGACACCTCTCCTGTTGGCCAATTCAGACCGTTTATGTTCAATTGTAAATGGTTTAAAACAGTTTTAAGGTACATTTTTAGCTCCAACTTCGATCCTTTCTCCAATTTTGTCGACATTTTCGACGACCGGCCTATCTGTGCGAGGTGCATTTTTAACATCAAGAATTCCGGAACAGAATCTACGAAAACCACATAATTGACTGTTACAGTGTCGGAACCAAACACACCATTCACAATTTTAGCCGCTTGGCTTGCATGTTTGCCTTTGTCAAAGAAAAACTGTAAAGTTACAGGATGTTAAAAATAGAAGTGAACAAAGAGAAAGTTCACTTGCATTTGTAACGCCCTGTAACTCACAACTGAATGCACAGAAAACAGCAAAATATTTTTATTTTTTACAGTGAAATATCACCCTTCCAACGAGCATAAATCTGAAATTGTTTGATCGATACTTTATGAGAAATGTATCATATGGAAAGAATAATGGATTTATTTTTCCCCCAACCTAATATTTCATCATCGTTAGGTTCGAGTTTTTTTTATCACGATATCCTTAAAAGGCGGAATGATTACTATTGATGGCAAAATCTTCTTAGAATTCATCAACAGACGGAAAAAATCAGTTAATTATTTTAATATAAACCAGTAAGAAAAGTAGTAAGTCAGATTAGGCCTGCTGGGTATATTGTACATATGTATCCTAACAGACGTCGTCTTTTCGAAGGATCATTGAAGTGAAATTAAACGAACTTAAATATGTAATATTTGTCCATATGTAAAGCGACTAACATCAATCCCTACACATGTCATTCTGCAACCTATGCAAAATTTTGTAAAATTTAAAATTAAATATCAATCAGGTCGAATTTAAACATCGAAGCTATGCTATACCTAAATCTGAACCGATTTCAAGGAAAATTGCCAGAGATTAATTCGGTCTAGATATGGGTCTTTACTTACTAAAAATAATATGAGAGCTATATCTAAACCTGTACCGATTTTCATGAATCTTAACACACATCTCCTAGATTTAATTCAGTACGTTATGTCGAATTTCGTGCCAATAGAAAAATATATAGGAGCTTTGGTGCACCATTTACATTAAATCGGAGGGAAATATATATGGGAACTATATCTAAATCTGAACCGATTTTCACGAAACTTAGCAAACATCATTTAAGACTTAATTTAGCTCGCTATACCAAAACTCGTGCAAATCGAACGATTTACAGGGACTTTTGTGCACCATTTACCCAAAATCTTTCGAAACTATATATGGGAGCTATATCTAAATCTAAACCGATTTTCAGGAAACTTAGCACGCATCATTTAAGACTTAATTGAATTCGCTATGCCAACATTCGTGCAAATTGAAGGAATTACAGGGATTTGGTGCACCATTTACCTAAATGTACGCAGATGATGTGCAAGTATTTTTGAGTAGCTCCCTAAACAATATAAGTCAGTGTGTAGATATTCTTAATCAGGATCTCTCTAGATTATGCGAGTGGGCTAAAGCTAATGGCCTATTATTGAATCCGCTTAAATCAAAATGCTTGATCATTCACAAAAACAGAAAAATGTCATTGCAGCATACTGACATTCTTGTCAACAATGAAAAAATCGAGCTGGTATCCAGCGCCAAAAATCTTGGAGTAATTTCCAAAAAATCATTAAGCTGGAACAACCATATCACTGCTATCGTAGGACAAACCTACTCAAAATTAAGGGCTCTGTGGCTAACACATTCATACACACCTCCAAATATTCGCTGTCTGCTGGCCAAAACTTTCCTAGTTCCAAGCTTATTGTATGGTTGTGAGCTGTTTGCCAATTGTGATTCCCTTTGTCGTCATAAATTAAATGTCGCATTTAGTAGCATAACACGATACGTGTATGGCCTAAGTAAGAGACAAAATGTCTCACAGTATTCTAAATCCCTGTATGGAGTAAATTTCGACTCACTTCTTAAAATCAAATCTCTACAACTCCTTCATAGAACTATTCTCAAACAAAAACCAACGTACCTGTTCGAAAAAATTACATTTGCAAGATCACATAGGGGAAGAAAACTAATACCTTTTCGTCGGAAGAGCCTGGTTTCTGAGAGACAATTTTACATTGGCACGATACGCGATTGGAATGCTCTACCATCTGATTTGCAATGCATTAACAATATAAGTAATTTCAAAAAACGGCTTGTACAACATTTTTCATAATTGAAAACGTTAGGTTTGGTCATACAACTTATTTGATTTACTAATCGTTCTTTTTATTAACAATTGTAATAGAAACATTTTTTTATTTTTTATTGTAGTTCAATTTTTTTTAAATTATGTCAACTCAATTAATCATAATTATTATTTTCCATAATGTATCCTTTTTCCATTCTTACCACTTTTATAATATCTAAGATACTTATTATTAAAAAATTATGGACATGTGATTATATATATAATCCTGTACTGCCACTTATAAGATTTTTGTCTTGTTGTACAGGAAAAACATTAATTAACTTAATAAATAAATAAATAAATCCAAACTATATATGGGAGCTCTATCTAAATCTGAACCGATTTTCGCGAAACTTAGCGCACATCATTCTAGGCTTAATTCAGTGAGATATACCAAACTTCGTGCAAATCGAAAGATATATAGGGACTTTGGTGACCATTTACATTAAATCGAACGAAAATATACATGGGAGCTATGTCTAAATCTGAACCGATTTTCACCAATTTCAATAGGGTTCCAAATATATAAGCTGGGCCAAATAAATAAACTTTACCACATTTCATACGAAGCGGAATATAAATGCGACCTATACCTTGTTTACAATTTATCATCATCATATTCTCAAAATGAACCATGGTTCTATCTCGATTCCTTTTGCCTGTTACAAACAATTAATAATTTTTGGGAAGGAGATTTGTTACCATATTCGACTACAAAATACCAAATTTCAGCGAATTCAGTTCAAAAACACCCTCAAGAACCCCAAAAAAGGAAAATTGGGGGATTCCCTTATGTGGGAGCTATGCCTAAACATGGACCGATATTGTTCATCTTCGAACATGACCTGCATGCAGACAAAATACTACTCTATGAAAAATTTTGGCTACCTATCTCAATTCGTTTCGAGGCTAGAGTGATTAAAACACAAAATTTGTAAAGAAGTCAAAATTCATTTGTACAAAACAATTGTAAGATCAGTTTTGTGCTATGGTGCTCCAATCTGGTTCAACATTTCACCTTCCTATATGGAAAAGCTCAGAAAGTTTCAAAGGAAATGTTTACGTTCCTGTACCTCTCTTTTTAGATCCCAAGTAGCGATTACAAAAAGTTTGTATCAAATAAAAAATTTTATGAAGCTTCTAATATACATAGAATAGACAATTTTATTATAAAACTGATAATATATCATATATTGAAATGCACGGAAAATATAGAAAACAATTTCATTATGGCGCCGTATTATGTCGATGATCTATATATTGTCAAGTGCTTGGAATCAGGGTTTATTCCACCTGAAGCTTTTCTTTATTTAGATAAAAATAAATGCATTCAAAACAATGTGGGAATTCCTATTATTTTCCACTCATTTAGAAGAGCAAATGTAAAAGCTATATTATGTAATCAGTCGGATATTGATATCGGATTTGATACCACCATTACCCAAAAAGACAAGAAAGATTTTTCAAATCTTAAAAAATATTGGTGGCATATGCCATAATGCTTCTGTGTTTTATACTTTCTGACACATTAAACAATAAAAATCCTTGATGTAATGTTTTTTTAAATATTTGTCATTACAATACACTATGCATTGTACATTTTTATATTTAAGATAAACGCTTATTTAAAAAAATCTACTTATATTTATATCACTAAAGTATCCCCTAGAAAACAGTGTAATTATAAAATAAGATTTTCTGATCTATTTGTTTGTTTGTAGAAATGTAATAATTTAATTTTTGACTTTACTAATAAACAAATAATTAAAAAAAAAACAGAGAGACGGAAAGAATTTTACGCTTATCAAGAATATATGCTTTATAGGGTTGGAAATGATTATTTCGATGATACTATAATGGAGGGTATAAAAAAAACCAAAGGAATTGATATGGATCTTTGGCAATCTCAAAACTATAGTCTACTCTGTCTTATTCCTTAATGAAAATTTTAAATAATTTCTTCATAAAGTACAAAGTTCACATATCGCAATGTACAAATTTTAAATCTGAAGACTATAAAACAATTTGCGATAAATTCAAACCTATAAAAACAATTTGCCACGTGCAATATTGGGAGGGGTGGATTTTCCACATTCATGCTTCCGTTTTATATTAGCCACTGGTCTAATATAAAAATACTGGAATTGACGACATTTGACAATAATTATCAGTTTATTGTCAGCGCATTTTGATAATAAGAATCAATACGTTGCGCCTTTTTTTATTAAATTTCCCTTGGCACTAACAAAATTCATTACAATACTTGAAACATGTGTTTGAGATTAGGACAATCTATAACTTGGCCACAGACTAAAATAAATATATTTAGATAAACCGATAATAGATAGCAGACAAAATTTAGCACTGATTTGTGTTTGACATATTTTCAAGTACGTAGACCACCTGTTTGTCCAAATTGATTGCTTGAAAATCCAACATTGTTACATTGTTATTGAACAAGGGTTATTACACTTCAAAATATTATATTATGAAGATTGATAAGATTTGATAAATGTAAAAAAACATTTAATCTAGCAAACATTTTATATTACTATTTTTTTGCAGATCATGGAGGACTCAAAAAACGGTGAAGTAAATAAAGCCTTTTCCGTTGAAGAGGTGAGCATACACGTATTCTGTTCTTTAAGAACCTTAGAAATTAATATTTTGTTTTTTTTTTATATAGGCAATTGAAAATGGCTTCGAAACACATAAGACTGAATTCCAAATGGACGATACTAGTGATATAGATAAATCCAGTAAATCAATGCGTATCGTTAAAACTAGTTTAATATGGTTGGTCCACATTTTAGTGGGATCATATTTTGGTTATGCCACACATTACTATATTCGAGAATGTAAGTATTAAAATATTGTAGATTATTTTAAAATTATTGCAATGAAAATGGTGTTATAAGCCTATTTTGTAACCAAAAATTAGTTGCCGTTGTTTTTGCATCTTCCGTCTAAGGTTATTTTGTCTTAGTTCGGGTGTTTCTTCTCTCCATCTCTGAGTTTGTTCATCATTGTTTGTTAGTAGCCTAACAGCACGATATTGAATTGCTTGGCTCACCATCTATTTGTGACATCATCTATTGTTCGCGTAGCTTTTTAATGTTATTCTGGCTAGATGCTTCCAGATTTTCGCCAGATTTTCTAGGAACTTTTATCTTTCCTTGCTGTTGTCTTCACTTGTTTTGCTAGTAGTTCACACTTATCTTTTGTGAAATTGTTGTTGTTCAGCAGCAATTTGAGTTCCCCTCTTTTAGAAATTAGGTTCCAAGTTTCGTCTGATATTCAGATTTTTCTCTGTTTTTGTTTCTTCCACAACTTGGTGATATGTCAACGTGATGTCTCCCAATGTATAATGTTGATTTATTGTTAACTTTTAGATTATTGCCGTAGTATAGTAGTTTTAGGCGTAGTTGTTTTGGCCTGGCGTGGCTGGCTTTCTTCTTGGACATTTTATCTTGATTTCTCCTATAATGAGCTCGTGGTCACTGTTAGCTCCTCTTTTATTTCTGACTTCTGGAAGGGAGCTTTTCTATCTTCTACTAACGTATATGTGGTATATTTGATTGCGAGTATTGCCGCTTTGTGATGAATATCCTAGTGCGGGAACCAATGACAAGCTGAAATGTTTGGCTCCGCACTCATCTATTCCCATTGCTGAACGAGCGTTGGTGTTATCGCTTCCTATTTTAGCGTTAAAGTCACCCACGAGAATCACATAGTCTCCTTTCGTTTCCACGACAGAGGGGTCTACGATCCGAAACGACCCGAGTCTTACTCGGCCAACGTCTGTCACCTCAGCCCATTGTGTAAAAGAAATAGGGCTGCTACAACAACAACAACATAGTCTCCTTTCTGAATTTCATTGAGCGTGGCTGTTAGTATAACTCATCATTGACAGTATCTTCAGCACCATCCTTTGGAGCATAGCACTGTACCATGGTGACGTGTGTTGCGTTGCTCTTGAATCGATCCATTCCACAGGTTATATGCTGTTTCTAGGCGCACGTAAAATATGAAATATTGTGCTTAATTGTATTATTCAAATTCTTCTTTCATATGACAAGCTGAAATGTTTGGCTCCGCACTCATCTATTCCCATTGCTGAACGAGCGTTGGTTTTATCGCTTCCTATTTTAGCGTTAAAGTCACCCATGAGAATCACATAGTCTCCTTTCTGAATTTCATTGAGCGTGGCTGTTAGTAGAACTCATCTTTGACAGTATATTCAGCACCATCTTATGGAGCATAGCACTGTACCATGGTGGCGTGTGTTGCGTTGCTCTTGAATCGATCCATTCCAGATATTGCTCTCCATGTCTCCAACGACTTCTTAGCGTTCTTCGACATTAGGATCGCAACGCCGTTTTCAACGCCATTTTCTTTTCCACTACACATTAGTAGTTGCCATATTCGGTTGGAAGTTCATCACGTGTATGTCACCTTGTCAGAAACTTCGTTCTGTAATGAATGGCTCAGAGAGGTCCTTTCCGACTTTAACTGCTATGTGCTCTATATTTGGCACATATCGTCCTGTCTCATTTTTTTGTACACCGGACTCAAGATGCTGAGGTTCCAATCATTGGGTATGCATTCCTTTAGCCAAATTGTACTAATCAGCTTGTGCATGCTCCTGACCAGAATCTGACCATCGGTCTGGAATATTTCGACCGGTGACCCATCGGCACGAACTGCTTTATTATTCTTCATCGGATTGATTGCTATCCTACCCTCATCTTGGCTATGTGGTATACACTCTATAACGTCATCTCGTATTGGTTCTAGGGTATCTTCTTCACCTCCACCATTTGATACCAAAAGCTCTGCAAAATGTTCCTTTCAGATCCTCAACACGCTATCTGTATCTGTCACCAGGTTTTCATCATCACCTCTATAGGTGTATGTGCCTGCACTAGAGCCTTCGGTTTGATGTAAAATTTCCGGACTTAATTCTGACTCCTGTACATTTCGATTTGCTCACGTTCACGTTTTTCTTGTTTCTTTCTTCTTTTTTTGAAAATACTTATCTCCTCTCCCCTTTTCTCCCAATAATTCTCTATCACATTAGGTGGTGCTTCTGTCATCATCAGTAGCATTACGAAACTCCTTATCGTACCACAGGTTTCTTGATGGTTGTCTTTGGTACCCAATTGTTGTTTTTGCCGCAGTTTGTAGGGAGTGGGAAATTCTTTGACATTGTGCTTCTTTATTATTATCGGGGCAAGGAGTTCTTTCGCCAAACAGGCGAGTACTTTGAGAGGAGTAGGCTTCTGCTACCTGTTGTGTTTGCAGCTTTTCGTCGTCGAGTTTCCGTGTTGTGTTAGATCGCACATTTATTGCTTCATTAAGACGAGTGCGAACCATGGCTGCTACAAGTTAGTGGTCCGAATCGACATTCGCTCCTTGGATCGATCGAACTTCTAAAACAATGGATGAATGTCCTCCGTCGTTCACAACATGATCAATTTGATTTTCCGTTGCTTGATCAGGAGAAATTCAGATTGCCTTGTGTATATCGATATGCTTGAATCTGATGCTGCTAACTACCATATTTTTTTCTACCGCGAACTCAATCAACCTCATGTCGTTGTCGGATGTTTCTTCATGGAAGCAGAACTTTCCGACGGTGGCTCCAACAAATATTTTCCCTTCCGATTTTTGCATTAACATCTCCTAGCATAATTTTAGTGGCATGGCCAGGGCACAGGTTATATGATCTTTCTAGGCGCTCATAAAATATGTCTTTTTATGCTTATTTCTCAAATTCCTCTTTCATATCCTGTAATTTTTTTATTATTTTGCAGATAACAATCATCATTGTGATTGGGCCTGGGAACCCGATGCAATATATTGTCCTATGCGATTCTGTAGTGGCTATGGATTTCTGATATTGTTTCTTGGCTTCACCTATTTCGGTTTAATCTATTATTATATTTTTAAGCCGAAATTGGGACGGACACTGCATCGTCAGTATTTGGTACCATTGGATCGATGGTGGATGGTATTCAGTAGAAGGAGGTAAGCAGCAAATAAACTACAGGAATATTTTAGTGCATAAGTAAAAAATTCGGACTTTCTATTTTACAGAGTAATATCGGCAATTCTAATTGGCATTTTGTTGGTAGCATTGGCTATTTTCTTGTATTTCGAAACGAAAGATGAACCCCAGAAACTGACTTCATTGGTGGCACCCTGTTTCTTTATACTCTGTGGTTATGTGTTCTCAACCGATCGTTCGGCCATTAAATGGCGTGTCGTTATAACCGGCATCACATGTCAATTTATATTGGGTATTATTTGTATACGCTGGAGTGTTGGACGCAGTATTTTCGAATGTGTTGGCAATAAAACAGCCACTTTCCTGGCATTTGCCGATGAGGGTAGCCGCTTCGTTTATGGCGATAATATTGTCAATCAGGGCGTCTTCGCCTTTGCCATTTTATCGGTCATCTATTTCTTCAGTTTTGTTATATCCATTCTGTATTA